GTAGTGGTTACATATACTTAACGTTATATTGTATTTAGCAATGATCATTTTTCACTAATTCCATTGAAGCAAATGATAATGGAAGCCAACTTATTACCCTGTTTGGTGTTACAGGTATGAACATACTAGGTAATACATTCTTTCCTCTCTAGCAGTTACACAAATCTATGTGGACATCCTCCAAGAACACAAAACTACATGGCCAGCGGCCGAGATAAACTTTTTTCAAAAGTCTTGTTTTTGTCCTGTAGATCAGACCCACCTGGTGCTGGTGGAGCTGTGTGTGGACAGGACGGCAGCCACCATGCAGGCAACCTGCAAGTTTGACGCTGACCAGATGGAGGCTGCAGTGCCACTTATCAGCCAGTTTGGAAGGATTCTCCGAGGGACAATAACTAGCCCTTAGTTAGAAATTTAACAAACAGGTCTAACTCGAAGGCATGAACACATAAATAGAACAGTATCTAACATTTGCAGTGCTAATTATTTTCTGGCCAACTGACTTGAAGTTCACACAAAAAGGCATTTCAGAAGATCACTGTTATACAGAACAAGAAAATGTGATGCTACTGTTACAACTTGCAATAGATCAAAATAAGAAGGTAAGTTGTGAGAACTTGTGACTGGACAAATACATTTGTACAATACCAGGTAAATATACAATTCAGCTGCGTCAGTACTTACTGGTGGTAAATAATGTATCAGACCATCCTTAATTGTTTGTGTGGAGAGGAATAAAGATGAAGACAAAAATCTGTACAAATCCATCCCATTTATTGTCCTTGAGAAATCTAACTAAGTGATACAACACAAAATGTACAATGTAAAGCATCCCCTGTCAACAGTATCAAATTTTTTACATGTTTCAATCTAGCACTGATTCTTTTAATGACTATTCCTGACACCTGTATGAAACCAGAAAAAGTATTACACTTTTGCTTTGGAATTCCTTGTATCCTTTATCATACTGCCCATCCTCAAGTATTTATACTTGATCTCAAATCCAAAACAGTTTTAGTTTCTCTCGGCCTTACCCAACACATCTTCTGAAGACATGCCTGTACATTGTTAAACAAAACTTAAAGTGGTACAAATATATCTTAAATTGTTCCAGGCTTGTATCTCTAACTCTCTGCCAGTGCCTCAAGACAGGAATGTTTACATTGTGTCTTGCCTACTCATCGTAAGGCCCTCAAAACTACCAGTCTACAAAATGTTGGCTGTAAGTCCCTGTAGAAAGTTACATCTATCACTGACGAGGTGGTGGTCTCATGCCTGGGGGTGGGGGTCCTGTGGACACAAGCAGAAATACCAGTCAAACAACATTTTTTTTTTTATCTATTACTTGATCATACCTTTTTCAGTTATGTAACAGAGTACTACACAGCAAGCAAGCAATGCATAAAAGTTTGTGCTCAAGAAATAATTGTTGAAGCCAAAATAGTAACTGTCACCCAATTTCTCCTTCTGGGAGTGGCCTAAACCTAAATATGAAACATCCACAGAGAAATGTCATCCTTACCTCTCATCATGCCAGGGGGAGGTCCACCTGGTCTCATACCCGGTCTCATACCAGGTGGAGGCATTCCCATGGGCATGCCTGGTGGCATCCCCCTGCCACCCATGCCAGGAGGGGGGCCCATCATCCTGGGGGGACCTGTTGTCAAGAGACACAGGAAAGTGTAGTGTCAGAAACTGGTCCAGTATCAATGTCTAATAAAGAAAACTTCTCATTTTAAGTTCCTTTAACTAAAATACCTCATTGTTTTCATCAAAACTTATATTGGTCCTCTCTCAAAGACACACAAGAAAATGAAATGTGGTAAGGCACTAAATTGAGGTTGCCAAGTTTCTACTTCATTTTGGACAAAGCCAAGAATATAATTACCGCTACAACTACGTTTGTGGCAGTAGATGTATCTAACATACCATCAAGATCATGTCTTCAGAATGGTTTAAAACATACCTCCAGGAGGTCCTCTTGCACCCGGAGGTGGGCCTGGTGGTCTCTGGTACTGCTGTGGAGGTGCAGACACTGCTGCTCTGCCCTGAGGAGTCATCACCTGCTGCGATGGACCACCTACTCCCCGGACTGGTCCAGCCAGACCTACAACCAAAACAGGACAAGTCAGAGTCTAGAAGACCACCCATTCAACTTGGCAATGCAACAAGAGGCTGTTTTTTTTACATGGAAAGAACAATGTCAAGACCATACAAAATCTAAGAAGTCTATCCCAATTCACACTTCATCATCCTGATAATACTTTAGTATATGATAGCCAAAGAATAACATGATTCTTTACCACCCAGTAACTTGTAGTACAAGACTCTATACCTGCAGGTGCAGATGGGCCTGCCACATTGGCCACTCCCCTGCCAGCTGCTCTGCCCATGCCTGGTCCTGGTCCGGCACCTGGAATTGGCACACGAGCCACTCCCTCCTGGAGAAAAACACAAAAGATGTTGTGTTCTGTATCTCTCCTATAGACTTATCTTACACACTTCAGGGGTCTCCCCAGAAATTCTTAGGGAGAGGTGCTCCCTAATCAGTTGAGGAAAAAATTAGCAATTTTTTATGAAAATACTAAGTAAGAGAAACCCTAAATTTGGACATTTTGGGAGAGGTGCTAGGATTTTGGGGAGAGTGGCTGCACCCTTGCTCTATTGCTTGGTGACAGCCCTGCCTTCTTTCTAAAGTTCTAATACTTGCAAGGAAGAAAATTGCAGCGAGTAGAACGGTGAGTGGATGTGTAGACTTACATCTGCCGGAGGAGGACCCTCCACAGTCATGGACACGATGTTCTCTCCTCGCAGCAGCACCAGGCCCAGGACTCGCTTCTCCTCTCGCTCCTCCTGCTTCTGGCTCTTAGGGCGGATCTTACGGAACTCATCACAGTCAACTAGGCAGGGGATCAAACAACAATTGTCATTCTTAATACACGTGTAATAATCTTACAGTGGTAGAGATACTTTTTTTCAATATTCTGCAATATTTCAGATGATTCAAAATTTTGTTCTGCAATTTGGAAACCGGAAACACTTTCTTCAAATACACAAGCCTCAATACTACAACACTCACCTTTTCTACTTAATAATGCAAAATTGCAGATTGTAGGATTTCTCTTCTGCAATATTCTAAATCTCTCTGCAAAATGCAGACTGCAGATGGGTATTTCGAACATTGCCTTATGGCTTATCATTCCTACACACAGTATGATTTTGCAATGGTCATTATCTTCAAAACTGAACCTATGTCCAGTATTTGACCATGTCCTGGATATCTTCATTCAGATTTGTAAAGACTTACCCAGGATGAGGTTCATGTGTTTGTCGAAGGCCTTGAAGGTGCCGATAAACACACGGCTGTCCTGCAGGGTCACCCGCATCCTGTAGTTCAGGTGAGCCTGCATCTTGGAGCTCTTGCCCACCACCTGGAAGAGTTTTCATATGACTTGTTAGTGGTGGTACATACGAATATGGCCAAATCATGTTGTGTTTTGTTTTGTTTCATTCATGCATGTGTGTATAGCGATACGTGTATAGCTATATATAGCATTTTGGTAATAATTCAAAACACAGGTTAAATATTGATATTTTCAGCAAACTCAAATATATATTTGAGAATGATTATTATTTTAGCAGTATCAACACCTACATATTCCTATACTATTTGCATTAAGAGCTGGTTCCCTGCGACATAATATTTTTGTATTTCAGTGGGGGAGGGGGGCAGGGTGTCTGTACAGATTTTCACCCGGCTAAATCGTAAGTGGCGAACATTATTTACAGAGATATTCGGCTTTAAAGTTCACCATTCATGTGCTATATGAAGTTCCAAAACATGTTTCAAGCAAGGAGTTACTTTCAAGCATGATAAACATGACAGAATCTCTGACGCGCGCAAAGCGCTTTGTTCAAGACACATGATTCTAGGCGTGTATCATCAACGTAATGCACGATATCTCACAAATTCAACCATAAACATGAAATAAAACCATGTCGGAATATGTATGAAATATCTCACCATGTTTGCTGGTTGTGTGGAGGCCGATGCTCACGGATGGAAAAGGGAAAAATTCACAACCAGCCTGGAGCCGGTCTGAGGCAAAAATTCAAAGATGGCGACCCAACGCGGGTATGACGTCGCGCATGCGTTTCTCCAGTGTGTTTCAGGTCGGAGGTGAAGGGTGACGCGAGGTCACGTACCCTCGGGACAAGTTTTCAACAAACTTTGACTAGAATCTGACCGGTTTTCTTGGTTTGATATAATTACGTCGACATCCCTGGAAGCCCAGAGATGTCTACTGTACTTTTGAGCAGGGTTGTCAGAGCTTCAGATCGTCTTCAACTGGTCTTACGACACGTAGCCATGGCCTCCACTTCTGCAGAAAGGTACGCGGCGACTGTTGCAGGGCTTCTCTTGCTTGCAGTCTTTTACATGTTGTTAGGGCTAATGTAAAAGACTGCAAGCAAGAGAAGCCCTGCAACAGTCGCCGCGGCTAGGTACATATTAACTACTCTCCACTTCTACCTCCATGAACTCCTCTAGTATCAAGTCTTGTTACACCAAGGAGCAATAAACTTTATACACTGGAAACATTCATATATATGAGTTAGAGAACAAGCTTACTAGAGAACTAATGCAGAAGTTGCAACAATGTGAATGTGTAGGAAAAGTGTCAAGAATATGTTGGACGTTAAAAGTTTCATTTTAAATTTTAATACACGATGAACATGTGTTGTATAATTTTGCAGCATCCCACACCAGAAGGTCGAAGTGAACGGTGTCAACATCAACTATGCCAAGGTGGGAACAGGGGACCATCCAGTACTGCTCATGCCTGGGGCACTAGGTAATGGGACACTTCCATAATGCGATCATACTATCATACCATCATACATGTACTATATAGATTTATATAACAATACTTTGAAGCACTCTAATTTTCCTGTATTGTCCACAGGCTCTGCCGTAACTGACTTTGCCCCCCAGCTGGAGAAGTTGAACAGGCAGAAGTTGACGGTTGTCGGGTGGGACCCGCGTGGATACGGGAAGTCCAGACCTCCAGACAGGGGGTTTGGTATCGACTTCTTCCACCAGGACGCTGCTGATGCCGCAGCACTCATGCAGGTGGGGTAGATGCTGTCAGATATAGTATGTTTGAAGAATGTACTGCACCTGTGCGAAACTTGTAATGTATTGTGCATAGAACCTTGGCAGAATGTCTCGTATAAGATCGTATCCACATATACAAGGTTAAATGTTATGTCGGAAAAGATATCCTCTGCAACAGACAAAATTCTAATGCAACGTGGACCAAAAGTCCAACGTAAATATAAAAAAAATTTGTTTCGCGCAGGCGCAGTGTGTTCTGCTGACATGCTTGATTAAAGCTGCAATTAATTTAGCAATCTCTACTGTACAGTAGCACTACTAGCCGCCCTATATGGATTACAAATCAGGCAAAATAATATAACTTGCATGATTACAAACAAATGCAACCATTTTTATCTCATCACAAATGAAACATGGAAAGAAGAAGTATTGACTTACAAATATCAGCCCAGCTGCCTGTAAGGCCATGTTGATTTGATTATATGGATGACATCCGCGCGCGCATGAATTTTCGGCCGTTTCCAAAAAAAAAAAGTTTTCAACCATACTGTAAATCGTACAAAACAGTTGCAAAATGAGCAAAAATACATGTATACCACAAGTTACAAAAAAAATTAACGAAACTATACCAATGTCGTAGAATGCCAAAATCAAACGAAAAAAGACGAAATTGTAAAGAAATGAACTTTCTCTCCAAGGCCGCCGCCGTACCACCAGACTCGCCATGATGTACAAGATCCAGCATGACCTTGCATGTGTGAGATGCGACGCCTTGAAGCCCGTGTCTGGCAGCAGGAGAAGCCGGAGAGGCCACAGTCAACAGCTCCAGGACATAACTTGCCGCACGAACTACAAACACTATTCCTTTCTTCCTCGCACTATCCGCGATTGGAACGCCCTGCCCACAGACACTGTCCAATCCCCGTCCCTGGCCACCTTTGTCTCGAGGGTGTCCAGTCCGGCCTAGACTCAGTCACGCTGGTGACCTTCGACCCGAGACATGTCAATTATTGCCGGTATCGGCAGTTGGACATTACCGGAAGAAGAAGAAGAACTTGAAGACTAGATTATTCGCCAAACCATATTCTGTGCCATTTGCTCAACCCTCATGACCACGTAGATTTCATAATGAAAAGAACTTTTTTTTTTGCAAAACTTTTTTTTTATTCGCACGCGCGCATCAGTTTTGGGGCTCCCGGAGGATGTCATCCATATAATCAAATCAACATGGCCTAAGTCAGTGTAATGTATTCACCATTGCATTTGAAATAGATAAATAAGAAGTATTCTGGTTGTCCAAATACAAACTGTATAACAGTTTGGTAATACATGTAGTATACCATGAATGTTATTGAACTATGTGCCTTTGTACAGAAACTTGGCTTTGATAAGTTCTCGCTGGCTGGCTGGAGTGACGGAGCCATCACAGCCATTATCTTAGCCGGCACATACCCCCAGCTGGTCAGGAAGATGGTCATCTGGGGAGGAAATGCCTATGTCACAGAGAAAGACAGCGAGATGTATGAAGGTAAAGTTCAGAATACATTGTAATTGTAACAAGATATTTCAAAGGACTAAACAATTGATTTATGTAAGATGATGAATTTTGTCTGTATGTGTCGCTTCAGAATGATACATTTTTTATTCTTAATTACTTTTATTTATTTAAATTGCCAACAATACAATGCAATACAGTGGAAGCCCTGGCATCATGTATCATCATCATCAGTCTGCCTCTTTTGATCAGAGGTGAAGCATTGACAAAGTACATTCTCAAAGTCTGTCTATGTATGTGTGTGATTATAAAAAAATTTATTGTGTCTATCATATTTTTGTGAAGTTATGCTTATACTCCAAGTGAAAAGGTAACTGTATACCTAGTCTGCCACTAACATAATTCATTGAAGATGAACACTTGTTTTTAGTCGCCGGCATAGATTTCAGAACTTTTTTGTGTGTGTACAGCAACAAGAGACATTAGTAACTGGAGTGAACGCATGCGAGCACCCATGATCAACATGTATGGGGAGGAGTACTTCCGTAAGACATGGGAGGGCTGGATTGAAGGAATCACACAGTAAGTACAATTGATGTTCTAAATACATATGTAAGATACGTTTTTAAAATCACTGACTCGTGAAGTTAAAGACCTCGCAAACTCCCAAATTGCTTGATCTCGCGAAAAAAGTCCGCGCAAACGTAAATCCATTTACAGTATATCTTTTAGTTATTGTTCTACTGATCAAATAACACAAAAGAAAAGCTCTACATAAAAAAGTGATTTAAAAAAAGAGTTCTTTTGTCAGCTTTTCTGCCTAACATGTGAAAGCAGCAATTGTTGAATCAGTGGTTGATGTCTTATTTCAAAAATTTCTGAGCAATGCTAAAAATACTTATGCTGTAGCCCCATGAACACCCAAGGTCTTTCACTCCTGCTGTTCATATCTTATCGATTTTGTAGGTTCCTCGAGCAGAGGAATGGTGACATCTGTAAGACAGAGGCTAATCAGGTGACCTGTCCCACCTTCATCTTACATGGTGTCAAGGATCCCATGGTTCCTGGTTTTCACCCTGACTACCTACACAAACATCTTAAAGGATCTAGGTAAGGTACTCTCCAAGCAGAGGTTTGGGTTTAGGCTTATTTTTGGCTTCTTTTTAGGCTTTTTTAGCAGGCTCTCTTTTTTGCACTGGTGTCTTTTTTGACGCCATTAGGCCACACCAATTTAATTTCTTGGTTAACGGATTCGCCGCTTCATTTTTTTCAGATTTGCAAATAAAATAAAAATCCAGAATCAACTGCAAAATGCTCATATTTTGCCCTGAACAGTTGAAAACAGACCTTTTCATCCTAGTTGTTACAGTTATTCCATCTTTCAACGCAATGGTATCATTAAAAGTTCAAAATTCATTGTTTAAATTTTTAACCAGCCTGGTGTGTTGACTTCATGG